GGGGGGGGGAAACCCGGCCCACCCGGCCCTACAGCGACGGCCCCGGTGGCAGCGGCCAGTACACCCACAAGATCTACCACGTGGGCTCCCACATCCCCAGCTGGTTTCGGGCGCTGCTCCCTAAGGCTGCGCTGCAGGTGGAAGAGGAATCCTGGAACGCCTATCCCTACACCCGCACCAGGTGGGACCCGGCGGGGCCGCGGGGTGGGCTGCGGTGCCGGCCGTGCCGCCGGGCTCAGCTCCGTCCCCGCGCGTCCCCCAGGTACACCTGCCCCTTCGTGGAGAAGTTCTCCATCGAGATCGAGACGTACTACCGGCCGGACGCGGGCCAGCAGACCAACGTCTTCAACCTGAGCGCGGCTGAGAAGAGGCAGAGGATTTTGGGTGCGTACGACCGCCACAAGGCTGGCTTGGGCACCGGGCAGGACCCGATGCCTGCCGGGGTTCCCACACGGCGCTCCCCAGGCTGGGTGCCTGGCTGTGCCGCGGCGCCTAAGGGGCTCGGCTTCCCTGCCGGTTGCGGGGGCTCGGCGTCTGCAACGCGCTCGGCTTCGCTCTCCCCGCTGGCCCTCGCGTTTTGGGGACAGCTATGGGGGGACCCTGGCAGGGGAAGGCGCCTGTGCCCCGAGCTCCCTGCCCCGAGCTCCCTGCCCGCTCCCTTGGCAGCGCTGCTAAACCAGAGTCTGCATTAAAGATATTTTGGGGGGCGATTTCATCCTCTGCCTTCTTCCCTTGCCTGTATATTTGTTTGCAGCCCTCCCTTTCCTGGTGCTAGCCTGCTCCCCTCTCCTTCCACGTCCCAGCCCCTGTCCCATGCGGTCTGGCACGGCTTTGCCTTCCCAGCCCCTCTCCGGGCGTACGTGGGAACCCGCACCAGGCTCCTGCAGGGCGTTTTGGATCAGCGGGAGAGCTGGAAAAGCATGTCCCCGTTTTCCCAGCCTCTGCCCTGCTTCCACTGCTCCCCAGGGCTTCGCTCCAGATCGCTCTCCGGGTCTGGGCCCCTCCGCTGCTTGCCAGGGGGGACTGGTGGGCAGAACCAGGATTCCTCCCTCGCCGGCGGGTTTGGCCCCGGCCGCTTCAGCCTCCCTTTCCCGGCGGTGTCAATCTGGTCGTTTTAGGCACTGGAGTGCAGAGTGTGACGCGCTGCCTCTTAAAATGGAGGCCTAAAATAGGCACTCGGAGGAAATGATTCATCTGACCTATTTCTCTCATTGGCTCCTGCGGCACCAGGGATGTCCGGCCGCGATGCCGGCGGGGACGAATTCTGCCCTTGCCACCACTGGGCAGCAACCGGGGCCGAGCGGATAGCAGGCAGGGCACGGTCTTGTGCCTGCTGCCTGCTGCCCTGCCTCATTTTCCCCCCCAGGTGTGGGTCCCGCGGGCTTTCCGCAGGGCACGCTGCGTCTTGGGTGGCTGCTGCCTCCCACGAGCAGCGGGGCTGAGGTGGGACCAGCCCCGACATGGATCCCGCTGGGATTTTCCTTGCTAGCTCTCGCTGTCACCCCGGTGTCCCGTAGCACTGAGAGATTTAAACCCCATCTCGCGTTTCAAAGGGCAGCGGAGCAAATGCCAGGCTGTCGGGGCGAACCGCCGGGATATTTTCTCCTCGCGAATTTTCTCGCAGTGTAAAAGCAAACAGACCCGCCGGTCGTCACGCGAGTGACGCTGCCGGGGGGGGCTTCGGGCCGGCTGCTGACCCGTGGCGTGCCGCCATCCCAGCTGCTCGGCCAGCCCGTCGGGCGATGATTTAAGGGCTCGTGTTTGGTGCTTTGCCCTTTGCATGGGGACACAGGGCTGTGCTTCGGGCAGGGGGATGCTGC